ATCGTACTTTCATTTTTCCTGATGAAACCGCACACTATGTTGAAGAGGACGGTTCGAGGTAACCGTCCTGCACAGTAGGTGTATGCATGATCAGTTTACATGATCATTGATTACACGATAATAAAAGATATTAGTTTAGGTGAGATAGCAATGAAAAACATAAAAAATTATTCTAGCATACATATATATCACCAGCTTGTAAAAATATATGACGCCAAAGCAACAAAACAATAATAACAGAAGATGGGAGTATTCAGGCACAGAATAGAAAGAAATGGAAAGCCAGCAATTACAGTGGGTTCAGATAACAAGGATAACAAATATTGATTTATTAAAACATTTTTTTCAATTCGTGCAAACTTCATCCAGCTCTGTCTTGAGAAAGCTCCATTTTCCGGAAACACAGTGCTTAACTAACTGGTGGCGGCGTCCACGTGATTGAGGTTATCAACTTGTTACCCCTGAGGTCACATCTTCAAATCCCGCCACCACCGTCTAAGTTTCGTCATTTTTTACTTATCATATGGCAGCTCTTGATCAGTCGTTTTGCCTTCCTGTAATTGTTTGTACCATCATAAGTTAAATAAAGGTAGGTAGAAAGAAAAGAGATGTTTCTACCACGTATTTGCTTTGTCGTACTCCGTTATGCAAACCTCACTGGTACTCGGTTAGTTTATTGTCCGTTATTGAAACCCTATAGTATTTTGTGGACAACTTAGTAATATACTCAACTTCTGTTATTTTGATCTCTGATGACCGGAACATTTATTTATCAATATTTTCTTTTGACGGTAAGCATTTTAAGCTCCTTCATGATATTCTCTGTAATTCTGTGCAGATTGCAAAGTCATGCACTACAGAATTGTTGGATTTGGAAGAAAGAGTCCAAGCCTTGGAAAGCGAGTTGACGACCAAACGTGCTCAATTGGAGGAGAAACAGAAAACAGTAGATGAAATGACTGAAAAGTTACAACAACTATCCAATGAGAAACAAATAGTAAGTCATATCAACTTCTTCTCCATTGATATTGTATGGTATTTTTATTCATTTCACTTCTTTTGTGATGTGTAGCAGGCACGCAAAATGAGTGATTAGTCTCGTCTTTCGTGTGAATATCACCACACTTCATCTGTCTGTACAATCAATAACATCTGTAGATTGCTACTGAATTGCAAACATCTATCGAAGTTTCGAAAGAAAACTGCCAGCTTGTAGCTGATTGATTAAAACGGACAGCTCTGTCACTGGCTTACAGTTGTTCAGTTTATGTGCTCTCTCTTTACTTGGGAGTTTCTTCCTCAAAATTGGCAGTACAGCACTGAGCCTATGTTCATCTTAGTCGGTTGTGTAAAATCTATCTTTCGACCTTTGTCGCAACTACAATAATAATAATATTATTATTATCAAAGTATATATATATGCTTTGATTCAGACTCTTCTGTGGTAGTCACTTTGCCAACGAGTTTCTGCGAAAAATGGTTAGTTTTTTCGCTTTATAGGTATTTAATGCATTGCGAAGCAAATATTTTGCTCTAGTCAACGACCCCGTGATCAACTATCTACTTTCATTTCTTATTGAGCTACGTAAAATTCACTAGTCAACTGTATGTGTGCATCCTCTTATTCCCCCGATTTGTATCTATTCAGACCCCTTAGTTGATCCCGACAGATTCACGGACGCGACCGTTCCAAATCCATTCATTTTGACTTATGCTAAACTGTCTCACAATTCTCATCGCACCCAGATGGGTCGCCAAAGTTCGTTTGCGAATGTTACATCCCCTGCACACCATTTTTTAGGAATAGGTGGTTGAGTGGCCTTTGAGGAAGTTTCAAAGTCTGAGATGACCCGCACACATTTTCTAAAGTACTTCCATCCATCATGTTCTAAAACCCGATAAAGCAAATTAAACATATGGTGAATCAATTGGTTTGATTATAGTTCTGTTATGGTTGCTGAAACTTTCGGATTGCCAGATGCATGTGGAGTATGGTAGATCTTTAGAAGGATTATGTTCGGGAGCGGATAAATATGCTATTGAAAATAGCGACATTGGAAGCAAAATCGATCGCTCTAAGTAAACTGATCAACCCACTTACCCCGATTCAGACACCATTTGGGAGATTCAGTGGTTTCAGGAAAAGCGAAGCTCTTGTGCAACCAGTAGTGGCTCGTAACAGGACGACGACAACAGCTAAAAGCAACACAGCCATAATTTCAGACTCTGCAGCCAAAGCTGAGCCAAACGCATATACACTGCAGATGCGTTACATGCTGCCAAAGACAACAGAAGCCGTTCGTAATACTGCCAAGAAAGTTACCACATTGATGCACGATATAAGTATATCGTTGAGAGTTACATGGCTCAAAAAGCTTGTCTCTGAACTGCATTCTTTGTACAAATTTATGTTGATATTGACTTGGAAAATATGCTACACTTATTTTATCAACCGTCACACACAGCATTGATTTTTACAGATGAAAATGACTTTGAAAATTTAGAGTATTAAGCTTGGATGAGCCCATGCAATTGTTCAGAAGCACCAGGCACTCTAAATGTTCTTCGGTTTGGGTTTCACTCCTTGGGAGATCGTTAATCCCCCACGAGTTAAATGCATTCAAATGCAATGGAAATGTTTGTGATGACCGACAGAGAGCAATGGACAGCTCTCTAGTCCCGTTTAGGACTCGTCAGCAGTGCGTACGTTTTTGTGTCCATGCACTGTTGACGAGTCTCAAACAGCTGTCCATTGCCTTTGGTCGGTCATCACAAATATTTCCATCGCATTTGAGTTTGAACATGTTATTATCTTTCAGTACCTTCTTGATGAGTATTTGAGTACAATAAGAATAGTTTCTGCTCAACGTTACGTATGAGCTAAAGTATAAAGCCCATAAAAACCAACTTAATGTCAGGGAAAGCCTAACCCTCCCTTGAGAATCCTCACGGTATAAATTCGAAGTAGATGAGGATCAATCGTCACCGTGTGAATGTGATGACGTTTCCTCGTTGGTACTGGATGATTTTACGTCAGGGTGGCCCACATAGTACGGTCACCTGACTTGTGCATTCCATTCCATTCCATCGCGACACACGTACTCCCATTCCAGACAATGTCTACACAGTGATCAATCTCATAAATACCTCAGGTGTTTCCTTTAACGCACGTTCGGCTGGCGATACCAAGAAATGCCTACACTGTTTGCAACTGTCTTTTAACTATTATATGACTTCCACTTGGTATATGCATTGTGGAACCAGGTTTGGTGATAATTTTGGGGAGAGACAAAACATAAATCAACTAGTGTTTCTGATTCTTGTTGTTTCTGAATCAAACATTCCTGATGCATCTAGATTCCTGCAAAAATATTGACAAGAATCGGTGTTGATTCAATAACTAATTGCATGTCACAATATTTTCACCACGTCAATCAACCGGTGGTTTCCATTTCTGAACCAGCTACTCTGGCAGATGCCAAAGGATTACCTCGGAAACGGTCATATCAGCTTTGCAAGCAAGGTCTAAAATGGAAGAGCTGGACCCCATAATTGTGCCTCTGCCCCCTACTGAACACTTTAACTAAACAGTGTCTTCCGTTGTAAAACGGTGATAGCATGCTTACTCTCGCATCCCTTAGCCTCCCTCTCTCTCCACGTTCGCCGACCTTGGACACCAGAGCCGATTACATAACAAATGTACTGTTAGCTGTCAGCAGATAGGATGGCCAGTATGATGATTAGAATCCAAACGAACGCCAATACGAGCAATCTCCAACATGTATTTACCTCAACACAAATTTTCCTAGATGCACCTGTATCTACAAAATAGTCATTGAGATATGATTACCAATGCTGAAACGTGGTTGACCGCTGATTTTTTAATCTTTGAATTACATCTAATAAGAATTCCCCTTCAAACTTGGTCATCCTACACGAATTGGTGTTGCAATGCTGTATTCTCGCAATAATGTTCTATGTAGACCACTCTCTTCAGTTCCAGTTCACTCAGGCTATCCAAAGATGATACTGGATTGATTGATCAATACAGTCTATGATTTTCCTGCCGCAGACAGCTAAAAACACCTACATTAGATTATAAGATACGCTCCCGCATTGAAGTTGGTCCGTATTCTTGTAAAGGGAGACTTTGGCTCTCCAAATCTTGCCAAAATCCAGATCTCTAACCAGCCCTTCAAGCGATATTTGACACAGGTTATTGGATCACGCTATGAAAAATGTTTAGTCGTGGTACAAAGCGCATTCAATTGAAACAGCCTAATATTCATCCACATTAACCCAACATTGACAACTGAAGTGCTTATGGTAAAATCCATCAAAATCAGGTCTCCATTAGTGCAAAAGATGACAATGTTTTGCTTTTCGTTTATACTTCCACCTTTATGTGATAAATCCGTCGTATGAATGAGGCGTGAGCTGAAAAGCTGGGAAGCACTGGCCAGCTGTTTTGACCTGGTGGGTTCTCATCGGCAGTACCAGTTCATCGAACCAACTGGCGATCGAACCCGGTGCCTCAGGTCTCATTTACACGACAAATTCATCACATAAACAAATCAAATACTCCATTAATCTCGTGCAACTTCCACCTTTATTAACTAAAATGTCTAGTCTTCTGTGTGCTTCAAACAACGAACGTCCCCGGGAGGAATCATGTGATCCACTGGTATCCTTGAAAAGAGTAATCAACACTAACCGAACTGATAAGGGCTGCAAAAAAGAGCAAGTTCATCGGTAATCCACTTATGCAACTACCATCTAGTTGCACCCGAATTAAAAAATGAACGGTACAGGAATTTTTATTCAAAGTACATCCGACCACCGACACCCGGAGTAACTGAATTCTGTTGAGAATGGTTTCGGTCAAATTTGTACGAGGGGATAAAGGCAAGTATCAAGAAACCGTGGTTTGGGAATTTCTTGTTCAAAGCGCGAGTGTAGATACCTAAGCGTCACCGAGAAAGTAACAAAGGATACCAGCACGAAGGTAAACCAGATGCTTTTATACCACTACGTCCGAAACAGCTGAATTCCTGAAAATACTATTTTGTGAGGTTTTTACTGGTGGTTGCGAATTTGGCTTGCAGCTGCTGCCAGGTTTTTTCTATTCTAAACTGACTCCTGTCAAGTTTGCAACTAGAACGGGAAAAGCCAAAGTTTTGGTGTAGAGAAGGAATTCATTCCAGGGCAAGATAAGGTTCATCTACAGAGTCTGATCTCCTTGAAAAATCACGGTTCTGAAGCAGCAGCTAAAGAAACCAACTGGTGTTCAGCACAGCAGTGGTTCCTCCGCCTTGTAAACAGTCACATCATCCATTTACAAAATGAGTTGTCGAAGTGAATCCGTGATTTAACTTTCAGATTTCTTTCTTCCTGTTTTGCCAGAGATGATGGAATTCATGTTTGCTGATTTCTTGATCGAATATTTCTGTCGCTAGCTGACAATGGATTGCGACGAAAACATCTGTATTTCACTTATCCGCTACTAGCACGAGATGAGTCCAGATGAATGTTCGACGGTATATTCTATTCAAACATATCTAAAGCTTTCATCGAATAAACCGTCGCATTCCCCCGTGAAAGAGTTACATTGGTAGTGTCCGAGGTTGCTATTTGACCGGAACGACTAATTACTTCAATAGCGTACCACTTCAGTTTGAGTTAATGGGGATCCGCCCTCGGTCTACGAAATGATGTTATATAAAATGTGATGTATTAGCCAGTTGATAAGTCAACTTAAACAAGCTTTTCCACTTAACTGTTTTCTCTAAATTTTTCTGGCATTAATTAAGCCACATGCTTTGTTAATTGCAGATGATTCCAGAATGCTTCAATCGGCAACACCTGTTAAATATAATGTAACACTCCAAGAAACTCGACGCAGCTCAGTGATTGTCTATTATCAAAATCAGCATTGTGAAACGTAAACTGCAGCACAGTGATCACCGTGCGTAAATATTTCAAAATCATCTATGATCACACTGCCACAAACGGAACGAATTACGAGTTATTGATCAACGTGATTGAGGATGTTCTACACATGTTGGAAGGTCGTCAGTTGCTCTAAAGCAAGTTGAATTACTCAAATGTGCTTTGGAGTATCGGAGACTGCTTGTTACTCTGTTTGCCATTAGATTACATTAGACCGTACACCGATTACGTCATTCACTTTCAGAGTCATGGCCAAATCAAAGCAAAAGTGCACCGAAGTGTTCACGTGGTTAAACAACCAAAAATGATTGAAGAACTGCTGGTCGAAACCTAAACATAAAGGCTGTAACTAGTAGGATCCTACTTATTTCAATACAGTCAATTTCGATAAGATTTGATCCTGACTATGCCAGTGATATCCTAATAACGTTATCCACAAATGACCAACTCAAGGAAACTCCCTCCAAACTGATATTCTTGAAGTGCAGCCTGCATTTGTGGCGTTACTCTTTTTGCACCGGAGTGTGTAATGCTCGGTACTCTCTCCCATTTGAAGTTGTTTGTGCTACCGAATTGCTCAATTTGTGACTCCATGTAGCGTTTACGCACCTTACTGTCCAACACCCGGGGATGAATAAAGATATTGATTATTTTATTTCTGATAGTACCCGAATTCAGCGTGTAAGAATCCTACGTGATTTAGAAGGCTTCAGCGTCAGTGGTTTTCCATAATTCCAGTTTGAATATGATGGCAGAAGGACTGACCACTACTTGAGCAAGGTAATCACAAATTCATGCTACTAAACTGCTTAAATTTAACTTCAACTTTTCTGATTTCATATGATCTATACATTTTGACTGAACTGAAAGGTCTGCTGATTAACGTAACGGTTCATGAATATCGCACGATAAAAACGACATTTGAATGCATATCAAAATGTTTTGCATCAACACGTGTGGCTCTTTACTACACCTACACGCACTTCAATTTTTCTGCATTTCTGATTCATCTTCAATCACTTTTTTGGCGAATCATAATTACGGTATCATTATTTTATTGAAACAAACTGAATGGCTTTGTGGACCTATCCAGCATCACAACAGACACGTGTTTAAAGTCACACGTTGTTTATTCATTCTATTCCCAATGAGGCAATAATTAATAGTGAAGAACTAACTTCGACCTACAATAAATGACATAATTAATTTAGTATTGCAGTAGTCCACCCAACAGTGTTCTATGATCCATATTCTTCCGGTTGGGCAAGTCGGTGTCTCAAAAAGGTTCAACTACATGGTTGTGGTTTAAGAGGTATTGTGCTGTTTCGTGAATGTTGTCCCATGACTTCTTTTTCACCTCAACAAAACGTCAGATCTGCCTTCCCCGATTCTAACCACAACACATTTTAACCCTTAGAGCCTCTTCGAGATTCAAATGAAGCAGCACGAGACCACCTACTGGGATCTTGTCCGTGAAGGGCGATATCGTCGCTTATGCACTTCGACCACTTCTAATCAAGCTGAATACGATCGACAGATGGCTCGCGTGGAAGCGTTGTTCAGCATTATTGAAAGACTGGAGATGGACTTCCCCCAAGTTAGTCTATTGATAACTAAGCCAAAGCTGATTTATATTGCTTTTTATTAGACAGAGCTCTACTAAGGTTATTTTTATACTGTGTTAACATGCTACCGTGAACTGGGTTTGTATTCCTTTCCCGTATCAACGTTGCCACACGCGGGTCAATAACAGAGGGATTATACTAAAGGTCTTAATATTATGCAAGCCATAATCGTCAGTTGGGCTAATCAACAGTCGATGAAACAGTGGAAAATTCCTACCTATGAGGTCCCGGGTTCGATCGCCAGTTGAGGCGATGGATTTGCACTGATGCACTGCAAACCGACTTTCTGTATTCGACATTTGATGTCTCCGAAGAATTGCTCGCGTCTGGTGGTAACATCGGGTGAGCAATGACGAGAGTCGTCAACGTGTGTTGGGTGCGGATAGTCGTTCTCTAATAGAAGCAATCGCTCCACACCGCCTCCGATGGCCTGGTCACGTATTGCGTATGCCTGCCCATCGACTACCTTTCCGTACTCTCTTCGCACGTGCCGGGCAAGGCTGAAAGAAGCGGCGCGGCGGTCAGACCATGATATGGCGTACAGGTATGAAGATGCTGGCTTCAGTTTTCGCTTCGGTTGGGGCCCAAGGGATGAGGATTGTCGTTGGTTAGAGACGC